TTTTTTCTGTCAAAAAGCATGCCTATTTATGAACTCGTGACACCTGTTTTTATGAGGGGGGTGTGTTCATCTATGTACAGTTAAGATTAAAGGAGTAAGAAGATTTCGAAATGTAATGTTCATCTATAACACAATATAGTTGACTAAAAAGCATATTTTAACTCCCCTACACAGGAATATATAAAAAAAATTGGAGGAAATAAATATCACACCATCTTTGGACATTAGTGAACAGCGATAATGCCAAGTTTCAAACATCTAGTCCAACAGTTTCTTGTTGCGATATTTAAGGATTATAAGAGGCTAAAGTCCCTGAAAAATTAGAAGCTGGGAAAAACATGTCTCTATAGTACACGTTGTAATCATTGGTTCATGATAAAAATACATTTTCCCCAACTTCTGGACCAAATTCATTTTTTCAAATAACTTTTTGGTTTTCTTTAGAGGTTAAACTGACCGTTTAAGCTGTAGCACAAAAATTCGATATTTTCACCCCAATTTCGAAATTATTGTGATGGAATCGGTATCAAGTTCCCATAAACAGAGCACAGGTCGAACATCAGGGTCCTACCTTTAAACCCTGATGGATATTGCATTGAGTATTGAAATTGGTTTAATCTGTGGGGTAATCGTTCAATGACAAACCCTATTCATCCTTTCCTTTTTATTGGTCCTGATCCTGCTTATGTAAAGCGTTTCAAAGGATTATATACTTTGACCTCATTTTATTGACAATTGATCGTATTCTAGGTGAGTTATACCGTATTTGTGAAGTTAAACTGAGATGGTGAATCAGAATACTCCAGAAAGGCTCTCACATCTAACATCGGTACGAAAAAAAATGAACATCTTGTTCCAAAATGTATGTGTCACTTAAAGTTACAGCCAAGTAGAGGGGGTTTTTTTCAGTCCTGCTGTTTTGTTTGAAAGCATCTCGAACATGTCAGTACCAAGTCACTGTACAAATAGATGTTAGATACTTATAGACGATGAATAAGTGAAAGTAAAGTTTAAATTTCAAGCCAATAAAAATACACCAAGATTGCGATCCCGATAGCAAACAAAAGTTTTTCAAGAACCTGACTAGACAAAGGTAAACTGACTTCGGGGCAGGCAGACTTGATTTGTCTACAGTAGTCAACCTCATCAAGAACATGTACAAAGGGACAAGTTGCAGGGTTGTACATGATGGCCAGCTCACTGACAGCTTTGACATCAAGACTGGTGTGAGACAGGGATGTTTATTATCACCGTTCCTCTTCATATTGGCAGTCGACTGACTGAAGAAGGAAATCACAAGAGGACACAGACATGGTATACAATGGACACCATGGACACAGTTGGACGATCTGGATTTTGCAGACGACTTGGTGCTTCTGTCGCACACCCAGGAACAGGTGCAAGCAAAGACTTCAGTATTTAACAACCTATCTCAAAGATACAACATCGGGCCTGAGGTTTGAAACCCCGAACCCGCAACCTCACGAATACGACAAGCCTAACTACTAGACTGTCGACGCGATAGCCAAGTGACCAATGGCCTCACAGTCACATGTAGATTTTGTTGATAAATAAAATTGAACTATATTCTTGGACTTGAACCGTGGTGCTTCTTTGTGTCTTGAAATGTAGTTTAAAAGCAAGAGGGAATGAACTTGGTGAAGGGCAGGTAAAAGGAGGAAGGGGAAATAAAGGGAGGGGTACTTTATATTTTTCCAATACCCTCCTTAATTCTTTCTTGCCTGCTCTCGATCTCCACACATACTATTTCTCTTTTCTCTCTCTATCTCTCTTTCTCTCCCTCTCTCTCTCTCTCTCTCTCTCTCTCTCTCTCTCTCTCTCTCTCTCTCTCTCTCTCTCTCTCTCTCTCTCTTTCTTTCTCTCTCTTTCTATCTCTCTCTCTATCTATCTATCTATCTGTCTCTCTCTCACACACACACACACACACACACACACACACACACACACACACACACACACACACACACACACACACATACATACACACACACACACACACGCACACACACGCACACACTATTGTCAAAACTTTCGAATACCCCTGTACTCCAAGAGTTTAAAAAAGCCAAGGTGACGCTCAAAGAAATTTTAGTCCGGTGTAAACGGGAAGGGAGGGGATATATACATCGTCGACCCCATGATACAATGTCACAACCCGAAAATTTTGAATTTTTTTAAATTGCCATTTCTTATGCTGTAGTATCGGTTGCATGTGCTCAAGAAATATTTGGTCGACATTCAAATTCTAAATGTCGAAAAAAAGCAAAAAAACACAATGTGCAATGCCCGCAGGCTGTCAAGTTAACTGTTCTGTAAGATCACAAGCTACGCTCTGCTGGGCAGCATAGGCTAAATGAGCACTTTATGACCACCCGCATAGCCACGCGGTATAATGGTGGGTCCACCTAAAAGTGTCTGCCCAGACAAAAGTCTGCGTCTAGGAGACTCATGATATTGTCTCTTAAATGTGCCGAAGAAAGCATGTACACATAAGGACCAGCCGGTGTAGACAAAGGGGTACTAATTTATTGCACTTTTTCGACTGCTGCAGGGAATCATGATGCTGAGCTAGGTAAGGACTACGATCTGCAACACACTGTGCTTAGCCACGAGATTTATCCTTGATGTATTTGCTGAATCGACCGAAAGAAACAACGAATCATAGAGATCTAGATCTAATTCTTATTATGATAGATCAGCAGAGTCCAAAATAATTATTCTTGAATGAACAATTTCTACTTTGCCTTCCAAACGTTCCAAGTCATTTTTGTAGACAAAGTTCCTCTAAGTTTTATTTGGAACCAAAGTTCAAAAGTTTGACGGACGTATACAGAATTTATGTAACAAAACGTGCAGAAAGGGAAAAGCCTGCTGTGGGGCTCGATCTATTCAGGAAAGAGTTTAACCAAAACAATTTAGCGTTGTTCCAGGGGGGGAAAAGACCAAAGAGACATTTGCGTTGGGTACCAAACAGGTAACGTAACAGAAGATGTGTGGGTAGTTCATAAAGAAAGCAAAGAGGCAGCGAGGCAAGAGAAAGACATGGATAAAAAGATAGCCCTGGAGACCCAAACACATGAACCATCAGACAGAGTGGGAGTCGTCTACATGGATCTTCAATCTGTCTTGTTGAGTCCCATGCTGAAGGCCTGTGCTCTGTACTATAAGACAAAGCTTGACGTGCATAACTTTACTGTTTACAATATGGCAACCCGGGACGTGAAACGTTATGTTTGGCATGAGGGGAAGGTGGACTCACTTCTGACGAATTATCATCTTGCATCGTAGACTACATACGACCTCTTGCCAAGACCTATGGCAGAATAATACTGTACATTGATGGGTGCCTTTAACTAAATAAAACCGTCACACTTGCCAGTGTCATCTCAGCTCTGACTCGGGAGCTCAACATCACAATAGAACAGGAATATTATCACAAAGGGGCACACCCAACTATCCCAGCTGTCCGAACCACTTAACTTTCGAATTTGACAAAATAAATTGTGGTTCAGAATCATTTAAAGGGTGCACAGTTTCATTGAGGAGCCTGAAGTCACTGTAGTTTAATGTTCAGTTTTTCCTTAGTTTCGTTTAGATCTAGTCATGGGAAAGTCCATCGTCCGTCTTCTAAGACGCCATTGTAAACAAATGAGGTTTCCTGGCCGTGCACACGTATTCCACGCCTTTGAAATTATGGAGTGTACAACCACGAAAGCGGAATAGAGAATCAATCTATATGCCTGCATCTATTATATATTTGACAACTTGGAAACGCGGGTGTCACTTTTCTCTCAAGATTTATTGCTCCTTTCCAGTACACTGTAAATATAGTAGGCCAATGACTTTCAGTTGATGTTAATGCACCGATCCTTCCTTTCATCGAAAGGGGGCCCAACTATTATATATTTATATATATTATAAAATGTTGGTATTTACATCCCTGTTAGCGAAATTTAGATCGTTTAGGAGGACACACACCTTGCCTGTGAGGGCCAACCCTTCAAAAAGGGTTACGACATCTCACCAGAAAAATTCTCCCCACTCGGAAAAGTCGGGTCTCCTGCGTGCGAGGGGGGGGGGTGGAATTGAGAGAGCGAGCGAGAGAGCGAGCGAGAGAGAGAGAGAGAGAGAGAGAGAGAGAGAGAGAGAGAGAGAGAGAGAGTGGGAGTGAGAAAGAGATGAGTGAGGGAAACAAAAGCAGAACAGAGAGAGAGAGAGAGAGAGAGAGAGAGAGAGAGAGAGAGAGAGAGGAGTGGGAGATGGAGAGACAGAGAGGGGTGGTGAGAGAAAGAGATAGACAGAGAAAGAGAGACAAAAAGAGAGATGGCGGGGATGGTAAAAGGAGGGGGGGGGGCACCTTTTACTTCTTAACCTATTGTTTTTCATTTCTAGTGAACAAAACTACTTATTACCAAATCATGTACATGACCCAGTGGCTCTTCGAGTATCTGTTGGTGTGGTTGTGAGGGAGATGGGAGGAGAAGGGAGGAACAGAGCAAAGATGCGAGTATAAAAGTTTAAAGTGTCTCAGTACGTGTGTAGAGGAAGAGAGTGAGAGGAAGACCTCCGAATAATCTAACGATTTTTTAGAGCATATTATATAACATACAGTAACGAAATGGGGGGTTCGCTCTTCATTTAAGCACCCACAGTAGCGAAAAGTGGCGGCCATAATAGTGAAAGGTCGAGAATGTCATACTTCAAGTTCATTGTTTCTTATAACTGTTATGTCGAAAATAGGAGAATATCCAGCCTGCAGATAGTGGGTACGATCAGCAAGCAAATCCGTTCATGGATCCTGGAGAAGAGAGGGATGGGTAGGGAGGGGGGGTGGCAGCTATAACATTGTACCGCCAACATTGATACATAATATTATTCGCCAACGAAATAGGCTAACCATTTAATAAGTAGATCTATTTTGTTGAGAAGACGTAGGATATTGGTGCAAGGGCCGCACAGTCTGCATTGAAAACGGAAGTGACGATTAGGTGCGTCAGTGACACGAAAGAACATCACGACTGCCAGTATCATAAATATAATGGGCGAAATAAACGAAATGTACAGGGAAGGCTAAGTTGTCACATGGTGTCAAAGTAACTGACATCAAAATGTCTGAAATCAGCGAATGGAAGAAAAGTGCCAGGTACGGTAAAACTGTTATTTCTTCTCCCCCTCATCTTTACTTCACTCACCCACTCACCCTACATCTAGATATCTAGATCTCTATATCTAGATCTAGATCTAGATTATATAGATCTAGATCTAGATATATAGATCTAATTCACACTCATTCTCTCATTCGGATCTTTCAATCAAAGATCGATAGTGAGTGGGGTTCCACAAAGGCCTATTATTATTTTCGATGATGCTATTGACCGACTTGTTGCAGATAAAAGGAGGCTGTTATCGTGCTTTATTCTCCAAAACCCACAACTTAAAATAAAACGAGCACCCAAGCATTTACATTAACCCATATGGGACAGTTTGTCTTGTCTTTGGGGAGTGTTGGCGACCCGTGCTTCTTTTTAGTCTGTATCCCACCTCTCTGCCTCTCTATACATTTTCTATCTATCTATCTATCTATCTATCTATATATCTATCTATCTATCTATCTATCTATCTATCT